TAGTAAAAGTATATAAAAAGACGATATCGAAAGGCTGTGGGTTAAATTTCCGAATTAATGAATAAGTTAAGATAATAATAAAAAAAATGTTATGTAAAGAAAAAGGTACAGGAAAAGGAGCAATATGAAGGAAAAATGTCGATGTGACCAAAGATCGATAGTATAGTCATCTAGCGGTGGAAGGGTCAAACTAATTTTGTTGGTGTTTCGTCAGGGCCTCTAACGGGAAAACAGTCAAGTTTGTCCTCGGTTAAGAGTTCAAGGTTTAAAAAATGATTTTCATTCAAATTTTACCATTATAATGCTTGTTCACTTATTTGTTATTGGAAATAACATTAAAAGAAATTGTACGAATACCTATGTCGCCATAAATAGAACTATCGAGGACAAACTTGAGCATTTTCCCGATAGAGGCGCTGACCAAACTCTGAAAAATAGTTTGGCCTGTTCACCGCTAGATGAGGGTATTGACAGCGCGGGAAATTTGAATTAGTGTGAAAAACATTAAGATTAATTGCTTTATAATTAACACACAATTAATTTCTCTGGAAATAATTGCACGTTTGACGATAGATTAATAGTTACTAGATAGTTGACCGACTGCCATTGTGGCGACAAACAGGCACACCATCAGCGATAAGATTGTTCCCTTCTCTGTGACACAAAACGATTCATATTAGATTCAAAACGTTTCCAGAATTTCATTGTACTTTGATGATATCGAAACAAGAGCGTAAACATGTAATTAAATAGACTTAAAAAATTATACGTAAAGTATTAAACACCTACTAATCATGTTGGATTCGTTCGCTCCTTTATCATAGAATTCCTTCACCTGCAGCGCACCTTCCAGTTCGCACTTTGCTTGGTTGAGAAATGAATCACGTCTAATCGGGGCAAGATAAGAACTCGGCTATATAAACTCGTCTCTCTCTCTCTCTCTCTCTCTCCTATTTCCACCTCCATTTTCCGGACGACGAAAGGATATTCCTGTTGCAACCACGAATGAAACCACACCACTTGCTGATTCAATCATTTCTCGGAGATTATTCTGTTTCGTATACACTTGGCTGGTTATTTCATGATACTTGCTTTCTGATTCAAACGGTTATTCGAGGAATAACGTATAGATGTACTTGGTAGGACAATTTCGCAGCTGGATCGACGAATTAGAGGCGTCGTGACTCATGCTGTCCTAAGATTTTAATACTGCAACGTAGCTGATGAAAATTGTCCGTTCGTGTATGGTTTCTGGGTAGGGATGGCAAAGAGTTTTGTATTCGACCAACGGTTCATAGACAGTAGGTCAAACTAGTAACGTACAACTGATGCACTCGAGCCCTTGGAGGATAGGAATCGATCTCGTTGTAATTGTCACAAAGGAGTATTTTATTCTTATATTTATGTAAACTTTGTATTCGTAGTTGATCCGTGTAAATATTAAATGGTATATTCTCGAATGCAGATGTAACTCGCTCGCATCGGTGCGTGTCATGATTCGAGGGATTCTGAGACGCGCAGGTAATGAGTATTATTATTAATAAAACGCGTCTTACGTCTCGGAAGATTGACACGACTCATCTTCTCCTTTTGTCAACCTGTTACGTTTCGAGTCTGAACATAGTAGCGCGTACTGTTCAAGGTGCAAGGTTCAAGGTTCAATGCAAATGCGGTTCGGTAATTTAATAATACACGTAACGTAAGCCTGCTCGCCAGGTAGTTTAAGACGCGAAAATTTCTCTTATTCTCGCGAAAGAGAATGAGAAATTTAATGACGTCCGATAATGTACAGGAATGCAGCTCGAGTTGAGAGTTGTTTTTGTAAATGATCTATAATATAATTGATCTATTTCCTATTGTAGAAGTAGTAAGGGCTGACGTTAGGGTTTCTGGGGACGTAAGGATTCCTGGGTACGTTGTAAGGATTCCTGGGTACGTTGTAAGGATTCCTAGGCACGTTGTAACGATTCTCTGGTAGCGGGACAACCGAAAAGTCGACGGATTCGATCAGCTCGACGTCTGGTTTCTGGCAAGCCAGAGCGCCGCAACGATTCTTGCAGCACTTGGAGGTTCCTCTGCAGTCGCTGTCGACGCTGCAGGTCGGCGAGCACACCCATCTGCCTTTTGGCTCCGCTGGACAGGAACCTGGTTTCTCTGAGTGGGAATAATTCGAGGATAAGAATTCGTCGATGAGAATATACATAGAAGAAAAAAGACGATGATAAAATGTATTATAATTCAGATGAATTGTAACCGCATCGGCTCACCAGGTGAAACTGTTTGCCTCATGGTCACTGGTCTCGAGCAGACGGTTCCTCCGCAACTGGTCGAACAACATTTGCCAATTCCTTGGCAGTGCGAGTCGGAGAAACAGGACTGACTGCAGATCTGAACCGGCAGAGCTGGTGGGCAGGAACCTGGTTTCTCGGCGAACGGTTCGTTTCTGTAAGCATTGCGTTTAGCTAAAGACTAATACTTGTAACGAATATGAGCCTGACACTTTGTTTCAGTTAAATTCACGAATTCTATAGACATTTATCTTTTTGTAACTTGTGTCGCCCATATACATATATGAGCGACACGTGCCACGATCAACGTGTCAAGAACACGCGTTTTCTAATTAAATCGTACCTGGATTGGCCGAAACCGATGGCTAACATCACCGCAAATACAACTGCTGTTGGAAGACACTTCATCGTTGTATCGTTCTTATCCAAAGGAAACCGATAAACACTTGTGGTATTACTGACTGAAAGCGAAACGATCAATGTTCTTATTTAGTTTAGTTTAGTTTAGTTTGTTACTAATACTGTCACTTGTGCTTCCGCGCGTTCATAGTCTTAGTTTGCTAACGGCTGACCAATTGCTCTTCTATATAAGATCGATCCCCACTTGCGCGATCACCGATCAGGCATACGAAACACGTGGACACGTGGTCCGGCCGCGGATCAGAGACCTTAGAACAGTGCACGCTGGTGGTCTCGTTTCGGATGTCGAACCGCAATGGCAATTATCAGGGTGAGTATAATTAACGGGAAATGTAAATCGAGCGGAAGAACGATAAGCCATTTCTTCGCGTTCGCAGGAATGAAACTGGTCGAATGGAGGTCTAGAGGATTTCCGGGTGTGGAACGATTCGACACGAAAGATTTCGAAATTTTCAAGCATCGTCACTTGAAACGCGATCTAATTCGGGAGAATATTTCAAAGAATTTTAACGTGGAAGGACGATTATGTAAATACTAATCGTTATGGATGCAAGACATCTTCACGAAAATACCTGTCTATCGAAACTAAGCGTCCTTCGCGAGGGACGTAACGCGACCGCGACCGTCCTATTAGTCACGAACTGAAAGCTTTCGAGGACTTACGAACGACTGGTTTTTCCTGACAGCGATGCGGACGTTTCGAGAGACCAGTCAAACACCGACGATGAATACTTGATTGCACAATTATTCAAAATGCTTGTAAGCGTACGAATGTGACGCGTCATACGTTCTTTAGTATTCCTTCGTTTATCGTGTTAATAATTATTACAAAGATTATCGCGTGGTGATTTTGCGAAAACGTTTGCTTTCACAATGTATCTTTTCACGGTTTCCCAAATTTGCATAATAATAATCTGCTGGCGTTCGTTGGACAATTCTTTAGAAACGCACAATTTCCGAGGACGACCGGTTTTTGTCGGAAGACGATGGGAGCTTCGTTTCTCACGATATGCGCGATGGCTTTGGGTGCGCGTGTCGTTGAAAACGACGCCGACGATCCTCGGGAAACACATGGCAACCGTTCGCTGCGAGCGACGCTTATTATACATTAGTGTCGTTGACAGCTGATAAAGTTAAGTATAAATTTAAACGTGGTCGATGCGCAAGAAATTTAAGCTCCTCTTCACTTTCCATCTTTATTGACGTAAACATAAATATAAAAAATGGATCCTACGGACCCGGTAGAAAAAAATTACGTAAAACGGATAGGATAACGCGTTACAATTACGATTATTATACATATAGTAAAAGGATAAATGCATTGTTGGTACTTGCGACGCATCAAGTGCGACAGTTTCTGCCGGTAATAATTCGACGCCTGTACAGAGTATCGTTGATGGTAACGACAGTAACGCGTGCAACAAATTACGCGACGTTTTAACGACCATTTAATGTCTTTCGGTGCCGTTGAGATTTTTCTAAGAATGTACTATCCGCGATTAAAACAGGGAAACGCATATTTACAGCGAATCGTTTCATTTTGGCATTTCGCTAAAAACGATGAAACTTTGATTTGGCGCTCGCTAGCATTGTATTCGGTATTGGATCGAGATCCGAATTAATAATTAATTAATGTACAACTTGGGGGGGGGGGGGCGTAGTGTCACGGAAATTAAATATAATTATTCCGGAGCTAAAGAGAACTAATACGAACAAAAGTTAGACTCCGACGTAGATATTCTATAAATAAAACAATTAAATTTTTTAAGTCTATCCACTAGTTTCGAACCTCGTAATCCATAGTGCTTCGAATAAATATGCATTCGCTGAAAACAAGAGGAAACGTAAAAGCACTTGATTCGAGAGACTCGAACAAGATCCTCGAGTATCGCGTCAAACGTATCAACTACGTATGAGCGGATGGAAATATTATTTCTATGGTAAAGGGAATTCGCGAAAGCCTAGATCGAGCTACTTTTTTTTAAAAAAAATTTCATCCTTCAGCCAAGGGAATTGAATTTTATAGAATTTAGCTTGAATGTTTCAATAGTCGAGGCACTTTTACAATAATTAATAACGATACAAGTATCGAGAAACGTTGTACAACGGGTTATTGCATATTCGCGTAAAAGAATTTCTAGATCAAGTCACGCCTCCTCGAGTATTCCAACATACAAAACGAGAATAAAAGATAACGTACACGAGATGCAGAAATGTACAGAAATAGAATATATAAATTTTTACCTAGCGCGTTAATACAAATGATTTGCATTATTTAAATACGCTACTAATACTAACATTTACGAACAACACCAACGTCGTTCGATTACATTGTTCGAATATTTAACGAACCACGGACAACGATCGTCCAAGGGAAAAACGAAGAGAGGTTATCGCCTCGTGTTCTTCTACTTCTTCGTGGCAGCTGGAACAGAAAATTCCGCAAAAATAAAGTGTAATTCATTTCTGTTTGGTGGATTATTATTAAATGGGTTGTTTTCGGTAAAGTCGAGGCGCAAGTAGGAGAGCAACTGGTTCTAATTGCGACTCGCGATGGCTTAAAACGAGAAGATTGCCAGCCGTAAAAAATGAAGTGGTTTAAAAAGCGTTTGAAGAAGGGTTCGTGGAGTAATGCCGATGAAAGTCCGATTAAGTAACACCAGCCTCTGTCAGTTCCCAGAGAAAACGGAACTGGGAGTGATTAGCTCGAGTGGAATGTCAATTCGCGCGTCGTCGACTTGAAAGAATCTTTTGAATCACTCGCCTCGCGGACCAAGCTACTTAAGGACTTGTTTCAACGGTTTTCCGAGTACGCTGAAAGTGTTCTCGCGAGCCACGAATCACGTTTCTCGTAATCGTCGAGACCGAACGAAACCTCGTTGAGACAGCTTCGATAGCCTATTTCGTTCTGAAGTGTCCCAACAACCGTTTGATAATATAAAACTGTAATCAAATACTGGCATACCTCGCGGAGGTACAGGGGGCGCAGGCACCTTCTTAGGGCCTACCATGAGATCCTGAGAGAGACTGACGTTCATGTAGTCTGGCATTCTGCCAGAGTCCGTGACATCCACGTCGTGACAGTTGACCAGGTCCGTTTCCACGTACTCCTCGTTACTTTTGCACGTGAAATTCGTGGCTTGACCTTGATCGTCGACGAGAACATTGATTTCGTCCTGTTGCGAGGGTGCATCGACCGTCGTCGAGTTTTTCGAGGATTCGAAAGTCTGTCGTTGAACGGTTTCGGGGAAGGGAAGTACGCAGGCGGATGCCACGTTCATGTAATAATTCGTGGGAATGCACATGCCGGGTGGTGGCACGGGCCCTGAATTCAACGGGGATGGATCTACTACGTTGGCGTAGCTATTCGTGGGATGCCTGGTGGACGGATCGGGCTGTGGAGCCTCGGCCATCGCTGGCCCGGAATTCTGAATCATTTCTAGGTATTTCGGGTGATCGCACGGAGAGCTTGGCGTCTTTGGTTCCTTCAGCGAGTCCTCTGTCTTGAATGCTTCGAGAGGATATTTGGATACAGTTACTTGTGATTGGAGATTCGAGTGCTAATTCCATCGACACGTTGACTGTCAGATTGATACTTGACAATTTATACGAGACTAAAATTATGTAATTACGTAACTTAAAGTTTAGGCTACTTTTTATTGACTAGATTATTGGAAAGTAACGTCGTTTCTTGTACATTAAATTTAAACAAATTTGTAATAAGCTAAAAATTAATGAGCCAACGAGTGATTAAACAACAAGTTGGAAAAACGACGTTATTCTATTCGGATTTATTTTGTTTAATACTTGAACTTTAAAAGTAATTTATTTAGTTACCGAATGAAAAGTCGGCATAACTGTCGCCATCACTGGACAGTCAACGTGTTAACGATGTCAGAGCGACTTACAGTGAATGGGCAATCCTGAGGGGGGAAAGGCGATGTAATATTCGGTGTCGTCGGACCTCGAGGGTGGTTGCGATGGTCGTAGATCGTGATCGTTTCCAGTCGAGGAACGAGGCGACGGGGAATACCTGAGCGCAGGTGAATATCTACCCGTGAATGGTTTAGGAGCGGGTGGTACTTCGTAGGACATTAGTCCTGGCCTCTCTTCCCTTGCGTTCTGAAGCTGAAACGATTAAAAATTTCATTGTCTCGAGCGATCCACGTATTTCCCTCGTAAGAATAAACGATAATATTTCGTAATATTTTACGTACTCTTCGATCTTCGGTGTCGGAGTGAGTTCCACTGTCTCCTAAGCTGGCTCCACTGCATCCGCTAACAGTGCTCATTCTACCAGACGACGACGAACCTAAGAAAACGAATAATTATTATTTAATTCCCTTTGTTTTTATATGTTAAAAATAAACTATACCGTCGGAGCTCTTACTCGAAACGCTTCCAAGACTCAAGCTGCTAACAGGTCGGCGATCCGACAGTCCTCCGTTAACAGTTTCCGTTTTGCTGGCTGTGGACGAATCGTCGGTTCCGTTAGTCGAGTCTTTTGTATCTAGAGAAACGCATCGCGATAGAGTATTGTTCGTATTGTTGTTTGTGTAAAATTATTCGCAACTGATATTTACCCTTCTTTCCTTTCGAGAAGAACTTTCGGATCCTATCGAAAGGAGTCGGCGCCTTCATTTCGTCCTTGATCCTCTTTTGTATCCTCTCGTATTCCTCTCTCATCGCGGTGAGCTGTCTCTGCTTGTCCTTGAAGCTTTGTTGAACGTCGTTGCGATTCCTCCAGTTCTCCACGAGCCTCTCGACCTCGGTGATCGTGAACACGTTGTTTTTGAAATCGTTTATGATTTCCAGCAGCTCGTCCTGAGGTCCCGACGGTTCTCTCGATTTTCCGCTGGAATTTGAGGTCGTCCTGCCGTAGGAACACGGCTGACTGCTCTCTTCTCGAGCGTGACCGGAGTGAGACTCTTGACGTCCATGCGTGGGTGTCGCTGTTCGGGATGGCTGCTGGCTTGCTACGTTCGACGTAGGTGTTCTGGGTCCTTGAACATGTACATTGGATAATTGAATATATTCAACGGAAATTCGATGGCATTCCTAAAGATTCCTAAAGATTTGCTCAGAGTAAACGACCTACCCGCAGGATGCATTTTCATGTAACCTTGAAGAGGGAGTTCGAGGCCGTTCTGGGTGGTGGTCGTAGCTGTCGGAGTCGAGGGACCGACGACAACAGGAGTAGGAGCCGGTACGATGGAATAATTTGCCTCGATGGGGTTACTGGTAGTCGGGCTAGGGGTTACAGCCAATTGGCCTGGCAAGATTAGCGACGTTATCGGTCTCGCGGCTGGTGGGACCGAATAAGCTTCGCTCAAAGGTCGTGGACGACAATAATCTTCTTTATCGTTCGTGGAATCGGTCGTAGCGTTAGTCAACGATGGGTCCGCGCCTACAAATCGTTCCAATTCCATTTTACCGTCTAAAATGATGAAAAGCAAGAGACGCGCATTCATCGAACGTTGCGATCCAACAGATACTCACTCGCCGGATCATCTGTCGCGGTCTCGCTTATCACTTTCAGGTAGCTATACATGTTGGTGAACTCGTTCATTTGCTGCGAACCCGCGGACGAGGATTCAAAGGGACGCCCGAAACATGCAACACAAAAGAAAACTACCAGTTAGTTGGTTCAAAGTCCTCGGAAGTATCGCACGCTGTAAAATCCTTGAAAGCCATACGAGTAAATCTAGCGACTCGTTGCAACTAAGAAAAAGAGTATGTAGTATCGCGAAAGTACCGATTCCATTGACTAACTGTCACGTCGGTTTAAAGGCGATGTTTTTGTACCATGTAGCCGCGAAGTTGATGCGCCAATCTCGCGTGTCCTGCTTGATCCGCGAGATCTGCAGGTGTCAGTTCCGACACGTTCCTCAGGTCGCACGCAATCTCGCCGCCTGGACACTCGAGCAACTGCCAGGCTAGTCTTTCCAGTCCGAAACGAGCAGCGAAATGCAGCAACGTTGGATTCTCTTCGGGACCTGTACCAACAAACACCTCGATATTGTCATCTGTGAACCACCGGATGCTAGTTGGTTTATTTGTTTCACGATTCAGGAATTGAAAAGTGTTGGAATATTAACTATAATTCATTCTTTTATTTAAGATATTCAATTTTATATTAAAATGGTCTTTATGTATTTAAATTATACTATATTATATTATATTTATTATATTACATTATATTATATTATATTATATGGCCCATTTCCAATAAAAACGCTTTGAAACATGTTCTTACCGACTAGCAGCCTTCCTGTGCAGCATCATATGCAGCAAAGCATACAACAGGATTAACATGAATAGAGAAGGAAGTCTGGGCGCGCAGCTACTTGGGAATAATTGAGGGGGAGAAATTCAAATTTCACGTAAATAGCTTTTTAATTGGCCCCAACGGCAAATTTACTTACTCGAGTGAACTTTTTGAGCGGACACGACACCGCTGGGCGTAGACAAAAGGCTAAAGTGCGGCGGCACGTTTCGTTGAAACGCGTGGACCATCCAGTTGTCCAACTGCTCGCGATCGCCGGGATTGAAGCCGAATGTCTAAAAGGAGATGAAAATTGGCGAGTTTAGTTCGATCCAAGTTAAATTGTCTAGCAAGTTTGAATCGTCCATCGAATCGGACAAGGTGCTAGCCAACTACCTGGCACATGAACTCCAGAGGGTTGTCGTGAGCCCTGAGAATCTGATCCAGTTCTCTGAGCCTGCTCTCGCACTTGACCTGTCGCACACCGAGCGGACAACCGTTTCTGGATATTCTGACGCCAACCAGCATCGACACTTCCAGACACCTCTCGGGAATGGCGAACTGCAGGGCGTAAGGGTTTCTTCTTTTCACGTGGCCGATGTCGATCGCCTCCCCGCACCGATCCACGATAACCGAGACGTTGTCCTCCGGTCGTAACGGATCGTTCAGCAAGGCTATTATTCGGTTGTGACCCTGAAACGATTTTTAAATTGCTTAGCAAATGCAAAAGACCTTTGGAAAATCGTTTATTCGTTTAACGATCAAACATATACATGTATATTTTGTAAATGTAACCGGTGTTTGCTCACCAGTTTAACTTTCTTCGGGTGTACCGAAAACGCAGTTTTCTCGCTCCTCAATGCTGGCGGCGGCGTGCTCCCGAGGATTCCAACTGCTGCACCCAAAACTTCACCGACAAAAGTCTCGTCCTGATCCTTGACGAAAAATTTCCGCCAGTGATTGTACGATACCAGGATCGACTTGTGAGCGTCGTTGATGTGACTGTCGTGGACACCTAACATCATAGCGAGGACCTTTTCAGCGAGCAGATGCCTGGAGAGATTTGTCGCGTGTTCTGGCCGACTCTGAATACGCTCCAAGAGTACGGGACACACGACCACGATCTGCAGACGAGCCGATCTGATTCTGTCCTCGGTGCCCGATGGAATCGTTTCTTCGACCGTGATATGACCAACCCTTGAACGTTCAATTGTCGTTTAGGAACGAGGACTTGCGTATAAAAAGATTGTTAAAGTTATCGGAACATTCGGAAAATCGGAAGAGATCGATTACTTGAAAGGCGGCCGGCCTTGCTGCCTGCTGATCTGTTCGAAACATGCCGTCAGATAGTTGACCCACAAGCTCGAAATTTCGCTGTCCCTGCTGGATACGAACAGCACGTCATCTTCGGGGTGCGATTCGATCTTTGAAAGTCCAGTTGCCGATCGGGAGCCTGGACAAAATTTTCTTTAATAATGTTTGCCAGTGATATATGTATATGTAGCTCCGAGAGAGCTTCGGACTATAGCTTTATCACATCGATCGTCGCGTCAGCTATATACGCATGACTAGATGAACTAGAAAAATTCATTCTGAATGTTGAGCGTGAAAGAAAATAAATTTAATTGAAATCTTTGAATTTAGATGAAATTGCAAATATATAAATGTTTGGTTTAGCAGTTTCCAATAGGCCAGTAAAACCAGTAAAAATGTACAAGAATATTAGTAGTCGACGCGCAAGTTTTGCAAATAGGGAAACTCTGTTGAACGGCCACAGGATCGATGCATCTGTTTCTTTAGTTAACGAACAAAGTCTAGGTAGTTTTAATTAACGACACGTTTAATTTCCGCAAGCTATTAACGTATTACCGGAAAGACACACCTTGCTTTAGTTTGTCTAAAGCCCCCCGACGACGAGACCAGCTTTCAATTCCATTTAATGCGACACGAGACACGCAAGAGCCCCCTTTCCCCGCCGCGCCGCGCCGCGCCGAGGCTAATAAAATAATGGCTCTCTAATGCGTTTGTTCCTCGTTATTTGAGAAAACGGGCATCGCGCAGAGATGTCTGAATAAGCGCGAGAAGATTGGTGCATCGTCAAAGTGGACTCGTTAGAGGAGACAGGACGTAATTTGGTTCACACTAGGCCAGAGATACCTTTTCTCTGTATTCTATTATTTTTCAAAGAGAATTTTGAAAATTTAAGCACTGCCGAGTGCAATTTAATATGAATAATGGCTAACGCGGAAGCCCAGAAATAGGAAGCTTGAAATTTCTCGACTTTCCGTAGTGGCTATTTTGCGTGGATAAAAAAAAGAAAATAAATAAAAAGAGTACAAAAATACTTTATTCGAAAAGCTACAGTACGAAGCCGTGAATGGATCACCCTCATCTAAACGTTTGAACCCGCTAGGACTGCTGGTAAGTTTATCGAGCGTACAATGGTATAACTAATGGGGTCGTTCGTTCGTTTTCCATAACCGCGCTCTTTCTCGCACAACGGAGCTTTTGTGCCAGCGATATCGATATCTACCAGCAGCCGACTGGAAGCACCGAGGTTCACGATCCCCGCAGCCGAAAATAACCGAAAAGAGTCACATTTTTCCCCCGCGTCGCGTCGCGTCGCGTCGCGTCGCGTCGCGTCGCAATAAAGTCACCATTATCAACCATCGTTTAAGAGACCTAGCCGTATCCACTTTTTATAACTTTGATTTTACTGGCCGATCTTCTGGGATCCGATGTCCTCTCGCGTTAAATGGCAAGCCTCGATAGTTGACGAATAAATATACTGATCGAGTAGCGTGTAGTTTGAATCGGAGATGTACGTTTGTTCATCGCACGACCAGGGATGTACATAGTTGAAATTCTGGTAGAATTATAGCAGAGCAAAAAGATCCACGATTTGTCTCGCCGTGATACGTGGCTCTGGAAATAACCAGTAATACCCCCCTAAACTTTCCTTTTCTCCCTCGGTTCGGTTTCTTCCGTGAAAACCGCGGATAAATAAACGCTCCGTTAAGAATAGAGAAATACTACTATGTATAAGACAGCTATGTATAGTCGGCGCGAAGGATTCGTTTCCGCGTTTGTAACACGTGCTTTTCATCCGAGACACCATACCAACATTTCAACCTTCCATCGAGGCTCTGTATGTTCGTAACGTTTTCGGATGTGACACCAGCCTTCAACTATCATATTATCGATCTTCTAATTTTAATTTCATCGTTATTATGGTGGTATAGGTTTCGTTCAAATAAGCTTAAATTGTACTTAGGTAAAAGTAAAAGGTGATGGTCGCGATCGGGAAATGTTCTTCTCCGTACTTGGGTTTCGTAGTCGCCGAGTTGACGCGCGACAGCTCCTGCGGTCGCTACGTGACGCGCGGCGCGTGTCTTCCGTTTTCGGCGCATCCGGTCTTACACCGAATTAATAGTCGCGAACGATTCAAGTAGCGAGCCGTTATCCGTGCTCTTCGTACTACGGTTCTGGCCTCGGCAGACGATGAATAATTTTTTGCGAAATAAACATCAAAAAGATACGATACGTCTGCACTCGTAGTGAAATAGAGATTTCGGGAGGTTCTCGCGAGTATCGTGGTATACGACGTTCTTGGTTCTCGGATTCAAATCACCAAAAGAAACAAAGAAACAGATTAGAAAGGCAAAGAGCAATTTTGATCGAGTAAAGGATGGAGAAAAATGCGGTCGTTTAAAAACTCTGTCGAAACGGAGGCAGCTTGATAAAAGAGGATGTAGGATGTAAAGACGAGGGAGAGAAGCAAGTAGAAAGAAATGTACATAAATTACGAACAAAACCAGACACTCACGGCTGATGTTGGACAAATCCAAAAAGGTTGGTCGGTTTCGTCGCCGGGAACGTGGCGTTTCGCACGTGTTGGCCATATTTTTTAAGGGGACAAACTTTTCGACCATTTCGCTCATCGTTCTTTTTTATTTCACTGGAACATGTACGCGCGTTAACACTTTGAAAATGAATGCGGTCGCGGCTACCAACGATACACATTTTCTCTCATGGTTACCGAAAATAAATACAACGGCTCGAAAAATGAAGAAATAAAACGGCTCGACGGGTTGTACACCGTTGATCGATGATCGACGACTGACCAGGCACGATCGAACCGATCGATTCGATACAACTAAGCGCGGAATGCCCATCGTCGAATTCGAGCCCCACCACTCGCGTTCGCGTCATTGTTTTCACGTACAGACTCAGAAATCAGACGGTGTCCATAATTAAGCTGGACGAGCCTCGAATTTTAATCGGACTCGGTTTGTTTTGGATTCGATCCACTCGTGAATGCCGAGGACGCGATGGAGACGGCAACGGCAACGGCGATCCATCGGTGGGTGGTAATTTTGCGCTTTAAAGCCAGGATTGACGCGACAAGTTGGAAAAACTCCACTTGACATATATTACTTGTTAATGCAACATATTCGTTATGAAATTTGTGTAAACATTTGATTGGAAGGTAGCGGGAAATGCATGCACCGTAAGTGAAAAATGTAGCGTTGTTGAAATTGCTTAGAATACTTGAAAAGAAGTGACAAAGTATGGTAAATCAAGTACGGTCGAGTCGAACGATTTGAAAGAGAAGAAAAGACTAGGCGCAAAGATGGTGGTAGCTGGGGCCCATTTGTATTCGCTGCGGTGCAACGGACCCCGCATACGATTAGCATGCTGCATATCCTGCGCATCGAGTGCATCAGGACGACGCGACGACGCTACGACGCTACGACGCTACGACTGCACTGCGCTTTCGAATGCACGAAAATCTTGTGGAATTCTCCAAGGACGCTTCATAAATAATCACCACGGTTTCAACCCCCGTGCGTCCGGTTGCTTTTAGTCGTGATACTATCTCGATCGTCTCCTTTATCTATATATATATATATATATATATATATATATATATATATATGATTTTTTATCGACGCTTTCAAGATACGTCACCGACTCATTACAATTTTAAATTCGCCCATTGTTAAGCACCAATCTCAGATTTATTTAAATCCATCCTTAAAACGATATATGGAGCACATTTGAAAACAATGCGCGCTCCGATTTTGGCCGATTGGAATTTTGCTTACGAAAATCGTCAAGATTCGCTAACTTTAAAGAATGTTGTATTCTCGTGTATCACCAAGCAACAAACTAAATACATTGTAATAATAATTGCTATCGTTATTCGTCGTCAAATTGTTTTCAATTAATTTCATGCTTAGCATAGATGTTATGTAAACAAGGAATATTACCAAAGTATTCGAGGCTTCGCTTCGCATAGTGATTCTCCTCCTTAATCTTCATTCTTTCAATTATTCGTCACGGCAATGATTAATTTTCGCGTTCGTCGATTCTCAGCACAAACATATTACAAAAACCATGTTGCACGTTGTACAAAAAAATGTTCTTGTATCTGATGTTTCGATAATTGTACTCGCGGCTAAAGGTACAAGAAACTTTCGAGGAGAAGGCAAGAGTCGGAGAAATCCACGAAAATATGAAAAACAACGTCCGGCTGGAGCGCGGTGCGCCTCGTCACTGAAGATCTCGAGGGTTGTTTCGGAAGATGCGTTCGGGGAACTCGGTGAATCTTGCGCATGCGCCGAGCGGCGTGCGCGTTGAACTGCGCAGACGCGACGTTCAAATATTTGGGAAATCCACGTGGTTGCGTGGACGCACCGTGAAAACGTGAAAACTAACCAACGGAGGATCAAAGTTATTTGCTGCTTTACGCGAGAAAGATGAAACAAGTCGAAAAGAAATCGAATAGCACTTGGTATTTTAACTCTTTTCTCTTTTCGTTCTCATTATCGCGGACCTCTCCTTATCTACGTTATTTCTTTCATCACGTTCAGCTAGTCAAAGGGCCTCGGAAATACAAGAGCAATAATTCACTTTCGAGTGATTATCGTCGGCGTCCAATTAGTTGAAAGTAACAAACGATGCCCGATACGGTGCTTGTAATTGGATCAGCCAACCTTCGAAAATGCGTGTCGATGGTATCGCGCATATAATTACATCGACGGAGTAGCTATTTAAATGTTCGATTACAAGTCATCGATCGCATTAATTAAGGAACGCTCGAGCATTTGGCGGCACCGAGGACCTTCCATTTCGCCAAGTGATACAAGCTCACGCATTCAACACGTTCACGCGGCCGCTGCTATTTGTATTTCTCGCCATGAATGGGGCGACCATGAGCACCACCGGTGGTACGCGCCGCCCGATGGCCGTGACATACACGTAACATCTTAACCACTATAGTGGCGTGTCGCGCTCCCAACAGGCCAGCTGTGAGCCACCACCGGTGGTACGTGAACGTGTTAAACAGCAAACATTTAACGACTCTGAAACATCTTGGACGAAAACATTGCGCGACGATTGCTACCTGAGACGTTTACTGTTTCGTTTCATTAACTGTACGTTTACTGA